TGAAATTGTAAGAACCATTTTATTATCACGTAGCTGCAAAATTTTTTCGCTTGTATCATTGACGCTTTCATAAATTTTGGGCAGAATTGCAGATATTTGGGTAGCAACGAGCTGTGCCGATTCTGCAACGCTGTCTGTCTCCTCTTTAGATTTATTCAAACCGTCAGTCATCTTAAAGTTAGCAAGCTCATCATTATTATTACAAAGTTGAATAAAAGCACTGAAATTACTGAGTGAAAGCCAAAATAGAGATAAACAGTTGAAAAACGTAAATACTCTTACAAAAGCATAAAAAAATTTTACTTTGGAAAATTATTCTTATTTGCGTAAAGAGGTGCAGGAAAAGATGAGAGAAGATTTTGACTGAAATGGTTTTGTCGTCAAATAAGCCTTCAATCTTTCAGCATGCCAATAATAAGTTTTTGCAAGAAGAAGTTTCTAATTAAAGAAATCAAGTTTTTGATTTACAGAAAAGAGAAAATAATAGGCTTTAAGAGAAAGGTGCATATGAATACGTACCTAAAAATTGCAAAAACTGTACTTTGACTGCAACTTACACTGTACCGCCAATAACTTGATACAAAAATTTTTTTCTTTTTAGCTAAAATTATCTTTTATTTTAAGAAGAAGAAATACTGTAACAGTTTTGAATAGCGTCAAGTTCTGTGAAAAAATATCTCCTTTTTAATAGATACAGCAAAAACAAATACTGCATACAAAACATACTGTGAAAGTGACGATAGAGGTTATTTCGACTTTAAATGCTTTACCGTTAATTCTTTCGTATTGTTTCAGAAAGTGTAACTAATAAAAGAACCAAAAAGTAAATTTTTGTCAAAAATTAAAATCAGACAAAGGTTAGTTTAAACTAGAGAGTTTTTTTTTTAGAACATGTTTTTATTTGTGTTTCTCCAATTTTCACAGTAATCTTTTGCAGCAGATTTGCATTTCTATTTCTCAGTTTGATAAATTTACAAAAATGGGTCGGTCTAATTTCTTAATATGAAAACACCTCCTTATCCTAATTCTTAAAAAAAAAAAAGCTGTGAATTATTCTGTATTTACTATACATTTTAGATTTCTATGATAAAGTTTACCGATCAACATATTATTAACATTGTCAGTTATTAGTGCAGTATTATTTATTAAGAAAATTTTTAAGCGACCTCTGTGAAAAAGTGCTATTACTGTATAAAATTTGAGATTTAAGATTTTTATTACAAAAAATTTTTGAAAAGATCATAGATATGCTAATTTTGTATTTTAAAAGAAGTAAATCGTTTAGTATAAACGTAATGCTGACTTCCTATTGAATTTAATCTTTTTGTTCAGCAATATTTGATTGGTCTGCTCACTGAGAAAGACTACAAGTTTTTTTTTTTTTTTGCAACCGATTAAATATACAAAAAAAAAAAGTCTTAAATTAACAAAGCAAAAGCAGTAATTTTTTGATCAGTTATCAATTAGAAATTATTTTTGTAAATTAACAAAGTTCATCATATATTTTAATTAAAAAAAACTTTTTTCTAAAGTTAAAAACAAAAATTTACCTCTTTTTCGAAATTTTCCAAATTCTCTTCAAGTTCATTTATTGTATTATTTATCTTGGTGGAAAGATCATCTGTATCCTAAACAAAAAAAGAAGGAAGTCAGTGCAAAACTTTTAGTTTTTAAAAAACAGTTCAATTTCTTATTTCTTAAAACAAATCATAAAGCTTTTTTGTTCAGACAAATTAAACAGTAAACTATTAATTAAAACAATCAGCAATTAGTGTTTTCAGAATACCTTAGACAATTTTTTTTTTAACATTTACTACACACAGTTTTATTGCTGATCTACTAAAAATTAGAATAAAAATTTCTGTTTTCAAATTTATTACAAAAATTCACATACTTCTTTGCAGCGTTCCAATACAGTCATTGAATTGTTTACTGTCTCCAAACGACTATTCACTTCTTGTTGAGCCTCTGGTACGTCTTTAACTTTTTCCAATAAATCGTGCAATAATCGACTTGCATTGGATAATGTTTTATTTAGTGTATCAATCATAGATGAAACATTATATTTCATAGCCGAAGCCTAGAATCGTTTGATGAACATCAAACTTCTCAAAATATTCAACAATTTTTTATGTGCCAAATGTCCTAAAACCGATCTCAACAGTAAGGAAAAAAGCAGGCGCTTCTCTTGCAGTAACAAGAATGTCGTAAAATCTGCTTGCTTACAAAACAGTTGTAGCCATAATTTTGCTTGAATTCTGA